CTCTACCTCCCAATCAACGAGATTTCTTCTCAGAGGAATGTTCTAACACCATCCCGATTGATTTCGGCATCTAAAATCAGCAATCATTCCCTCCTTATTAACTGATAACGCAAACAATCTCGAAAATTGCACCTTAAGAGGGTAACCACCCAACCAGTTATCAAACCAGAACCTTAAAGATTCACCATTCACAACCTGAAATTTTAAATGATTTTGAAAGCACTGCCCAAACTCATCCTCCTTCTCACAATTGTTTAGTATTCCTTTCCAAATCCAAGATGCCCTATTCGTTGCTGTAAATTCAATCCGAATAGCTCTTGGATCTACAGTATACTTACTGCACACCAATCTTTTCCACCAAGTGTCCCTTTCTATCGCAAATTTCCAAGACCATTTCCCCATAAGTGCTTTATTTAGAAGATTCAAATCTAAAATACCAAGGCCTCCTAAATATTTAGGTTGACACACGGTTGACCATTTAACCCAATGAATCTTCTTCTTCTCTTCCGACTCTCCCCACAAAAACTTGGCCATAATCAAATTTAGCTTCTTCAAGACATGGGTTGGTATTATGAAAATTGACAGAAAATATATGGGCAAAGCATTGATTTTACTAGCACCACTTTCCCTGCTAAAGACAAGGATGTCGCTTTCTACCCGGTTAGTTTTTTGTAAAATCTTTGAACAACCGGCTCCCAAAGCACTGTTGAATTCTTCTTCGCACCAAGAGGCAGTCCAAGATACTCAATTGGAAACTCCCCCGCAGAACAACCAAGTTCGTCTGCCCATTCCTTCATAACAATCTCCTCCATATTAATTCTAACAATTATGCTATTTCCCGAATTCAACTATAGACCTGACATTAACTCAAAAATGCATAGCACTGTACTTATATTTTTCAGCTGACCCATAGAGGCATTGCAGAAAATTAATAGATCATCCGCAAACTGTTGATGTGATAACATGAAAGAATTCCCTGCCTTCCCGATTTCAAACCCGTAGAAAACCCCCAAATTTACTGCCTTAGACAACATCAAAATTCGTAATTCCCCGACTAGATTGAATAACAAAGGGGACAAAGAACACCCTTGCCGAAGCCCTCAAGCGATCCTAATCTCTTCCGTCGGTGACCTGTTGAGAAGAATAGAAATGGATGCTGACAAAATGCCCTTGAATATCCATGAACACCACCTCTTTACGAATCCCATCTTCTCCATAATCTTCAACAAAATCCCCTACTTGATAGAGTCATACGCCCTCCTAAAATCCACTTTAAACGCCACCCTTTTAGTCTTTTTTCATGCAGTGATCTATTTCTTCATTTGCCAAGAAAGAACAATCCATAATCTGCTTACCAGGGATGAAAGCAAACTGTGATGGCCCTACTATATCATTAATACACCCTCTCAATCTCCTAGCAAGAACCTTTGATAACATTTTATAAAGAACCCCACAAGGCTGATTGGCCTGTAATCATCCAAGCATTACGGGCTTGACTTCTTAGGAATGAACGTAATAAAGGAATGATTTATTCCATTCTCCCAATCCTTCCCCATATAGAAATCGTTAAACAGCTTCATCGAATGTAGATTCTGTGACACACCAATTTTCTCCTCTCGATTCAGATGCATATTAAAATCAACCCCTATGTAGAAAGGGACATTCAACTGCCCAATAAAAGCCATAAGTTCCCTGAGAAAGTCTTTTTTTTCGGACTCAACAGACGGCCCATAACATTTATAAAACAACACTGGACACCGGCTTCCTTAACCTCTCCCCAAATCGCAATAAACCTTATGTGAATTTGATGTTGCTTTAAAACAATAACATTTTCATCCCATAAACTTATCAAACCTCATGTTGTATTGATCGAAGGCGATACGACCATTCCCCGTAAATATTTCCCCCCAATCCTTCTCAACAACAACGAGCTCACTGACTCCATTTTCGATTCTTGAATGAACACAAAAGACGGCTTCTTCTCAACAATCAACCTTCTCACTGCTCTACCCTTCTCCTTTCAACCCAACCCCCTTACATTCCTTACTGAAGAGAGAGACTTAGATCTCGAACGATTTATATATCCCGATGATAAGCTCTCTCTCATCATTCTCTCTTGACTGCTTTAGGACACCTTCCCCTTCTATTGGATTCATCTCCCTTCGATTGGTTCTTTCATTAGACCCAATTAATCTGTTTTCAAATGTGACAGGGCTATTATCCAACCTTCTCGGCCCATTTTCTAATTCTCCAACTGAATAATTAATCAAAGGTCCTTCCTGGAGTTCCTCGTTGGCACCGTTCATTCTCTCTACATTCGGCAGGCCCACCATGCCATTAGGTCCTTCACCCGAGCCAGACATTAAAGAATCCTGACCCATAACAGCTGGAATATTAAAAACCCCTCTATTTCCAAGGAGACCACCGTTCTGACTCTCCTGCAGCCATGTTTCCACCCTTTCATGCTGGAATTGGTTTGACTGATGAACTTCCCTGTTCTCCTGCAACCCACCCTCTTGTTGATTCTGATCATCCTTCGAAGAGCTCCCCAATGAATCATCATCCTGCTCCTCTAATGAGTCAACTTCTGATTCGTTCCAAATACCATCTGTGAAGCTATCCTCCATCAGATCGACCCTAATCTTAATTTTATACGACCTCCCATTCGTGTTTATTGTAATGTATTCTGGAATATCAAATGGACTCGCCACCCTTAACACCAACCTTGCTGCACGGAAGTCTACTTTCCAGAGAGTCTCTTCTTAAATCTCAACCAACGATCCCCATCTCGATGCCAGTTCCGAAAAGAAGTCTTCACACCAGCAATTTAGAGGCACACTTATTAATTTGGCTGAGCAAAAAGCCATAGGCACTCCTCCCTCTTGATACACGGGGACCAACTTTTCAAGCTAGAATTCTAAATCCTTCGCTCTGTTCTCCATCGCTTTTTCCTCTCCTCCTACGATGGAAAGGTGATAATGCACGCCTTCTTTGCATAACCCCATGACGCCACTTTGACATTGAAACCGTCACTCTGTCATACCTTTTGGCTAAATTCCAATTCAACAATGGACTTAAGAATACCTGTATATGACAGCTTAATCCATTCCCTTTCTTCCACAGGTACATCAGATCGACCCTAATCTTAATTTTATACGACCTCCCATTCGTGTTTATTGTAATGTATTCCGGAATATCAAATGGACTCGCCACCCTTAACACCAACCTTGCTGCACGGAAGTCTACTTTCCAGAGAGTCTCTTCTTAAATCTCAACCAACGATCCCCATCTCGATGCCAGTTCCGAAAAGAAGTCTTCACACCAGCAATTTAGAGGCACACCTATTAATTTGGCTGAGCAAAAAGCCATAGGCACTCCTCCCTCTTGATACACGAGGACCAACTTTTCAAGCTAGAATTCTAAATCCTTCGCTCTGTTCTCCATCGCTTTTTCCTCTCCTCCTACGATGGAAAGGTGATAATGCACGCCTTCTTTGCATAACCCCATGACGCCACTTTGACATTGAAACCGTCACTCTATCATACCTTTTGGCTAAATTCCAATTCAACAGTGGACTTAAGAATACCTGTATATGACAGCTTAATCCATTCCCTTTCTTCCACAGGTATGAACATGTTCAGAGGACTCTTTCCTTCCCCATCACCATTCTTCTTCCTTCCTCCATCACCCACTTTGTCCTTCTTAATTCCCAATAATTACTCTTTGTAAGATCTATCATTACAAAACTTATTGAAAGATGTTGATTTATCCATTTCCATCCTTGGACTAACTCATGAACTCCTCTTTATATCCTCATTACCCCTTCTCCTTACCTTTTACGCTTCTCCTCTCTGATACTTTGCCACCGCAACAGTTATCCTCTTCCCATCAATCGTGGTTATTAAAACACACCACTTTGGCCTTGAACATATCCAACTTGGTTTCGAAATGGACGAAAGCAAACGTCGCATCCCTGTACTTTGGCCTTCTATTAACAAAAGGGATAAACACTATTAACCTTCCCATTGTTCTTAAACAGCTCCCATAAGGCACTCCTCGATACTCTTCTGCTCAGATTATCAACGAAAACACACCACTTTGCTCCAGTGGGGAGCAAAGCGTCAGTAGTACTCATGGACAACTTTTTGAAAGCTCACAGGAATAACAACAATTAACAATCTATGTCTCTTCCAGTTATGAATCAACATAAGTTGTTGAACCACTAGAAAAGCTGGTTGACGGAAAAGGAAATGTTCTGAAGGGGAACAAAGTTGCTGGGAAGGCCACTGCTAGATAAAGCTTTGTTTAAATACATAGAGGAAAACAACCAAAACTTGAAAACACTCTTGAAACTCGAGAGTTATTAAAACCTAAAATTAGAAAATTAAACGCTAAAGACTTAATCTAGAACAAGAGAAAGCAAAATATCATCAAAATACAGATAGTGTGTCAATAATATGAATCTGGTGGAATTATAACATATAGCAGAATGAAAGGACAAAACAAAATAGAAAAAACTATAATTCAGTTGAGGATTGAAATAAGAGAACCAAAAGCAAGGAGGTATGCTTGCTGATAGTGATAAGCCTTTTTTCTTCATAAGAAAATGGATATTGAATCTTTTTGACATTGTTACGATATTCTGACTTCTTACAATGATCCAATCTTCCCATTTACTTAACTAGTTGGTGATGCTCAAAATTACGTTGTTCATTTGGCTGCTATCATTGTTGTGGAAGCTTGCACTAGTAACTATTTGTACTTTGGATTTTTCATCTGCATTATTGCACCTATATTTTGCTACACCATTGGAAATATTGAGTTTTCACATTTTGCCTGCTATTTCTTCATGATTATTAGTCCTATAGAACCTTGTTGCATGGTCATTCTTTTTTCCTAAGGTTGACGGAGATAAGCTGAATATTATAATTTCCTAATTTTCTTAATATCATCATTGCAGCTGCTGGATCATCAAGCTAAACTGACCACTGGAACTATGTCATCGTTTTTCTTATTGCGACTAACGCAATTAGATTTCCTCAACATATTAATGAAGATGATCCAAGACTTATTTCCTCATCTACTTCAGACTTTGTCAGCTAGAAGCCTACCACTTGCCTGCATATCTAGTTCATTGAATAAACCCACTCCTCTTAACTTAGACTTGTCCTTACCTTCGGTTCAGGATATCAGATGGAATTTTTCACGGTTACTGTATTTATTCAATATTCAAATGGAGAAAAATATTGCCACGTTAGTGAAACTTACCATCCTTTTTTCCCATTTTTTTAACTCTTCTATGACTTTTGTCTGGACTTGGTAATAATGCATTATTGTTGGCCGTTCTCTAGGGCTATGACAAAAATTTGATAGTGATTAGTGCAAAAGTCAAGGTTCTGCAATCAAGAATGGCTAATTTGTGCAAGAATACTCAAATATAGGTCATGTATAGATGTCCCTCATTATGACCTACTTTATTAAGACTTTGAAGTGTGATCCCTTTTAATAAGCATGAACTTATCTTTAGAGTAAATTAATAGCATGCAACTTTGACAGGGATCAAAGAAGTTTTGGAAATACATGCTAGTTTACGTTGCCTCTGTCTTCTTTAATATATAAATAACTTTTTATTCCCTTCTGGAGTCTATATAGATTTATAGTTCAGAATTTATGTTTTAAGAATTGAATAATTCTCTTATCTCTATCATTTTTAGGTTTCTTGTGGTTCTCCTAGTAGCATGCTTCTCATTTGTTGTTATTGGCGGCTTCCTGTTCTTCAAGTTTAGGTAATGTATTTGAATAGCAGTTTATAAACGATTGTGGCAAGTTTATGGTATATGTAAAGTCAGGCTTTGCAGAGTTTTTTATGTTTAGTTTTGCTGCAATAATTTTTATGCTTTAGATTCTTCTCTGGAAAGATACATTTCCCCTCTATTTAGCCTCACTTTGTTGAAATCTATAATATGTTCACAACTAATGAGAAACGAGAGAAGAAATATGATGTTATACATGTGATATTGTTTATCTTGACATAGTACATGAACCAAGAATTCTTTCTATAATTGTAATGTTTCCTACTCTTTTTAGATTCACTATATCTTGAATCTACCGAAGGTCCTAGACTGTGAAAGATTGTCTAATGCAAGCATTTGTCATAGTGCATGTTGTTAATTTTAATTATTTCTCATTTGTGCATATGATTCCCCCATTAGACTGTTTATGATTTCTCATATGTTAGACTTTTGTGAATGCCTTGAACAACATAGGGGAAATACACAATCTCTCGAGGATTGCTTTTGGGAAGCGTGGGCATGCTTGTGTTCATCATCTACCCATTTAAGAGTGCGTGATTTGTTATGAACCTAATTTCGTTGTTTTAAGATATGATCACATTCATATTGCCTGTTTGATTGCAAAACTGGAAATTGAAAACATTATCATTTGAAAACCATATGAATGTGTTGAACTACAGCAAAGAACGCGTATTGAACGTGTTATTGGCTTCATTCTAGCTATATGGGGCATATTATTTTATTCTCGGTTGTTAAGCACAATGACAGAACAATTCAGAGTAAGCACTGCTATCTAGAGCAAATTTTACCTTTTCCATTTTATGAAGTTTCATATTATTTACCTTGTTTCCCATTAGATGCCCTTGACATTATCATATTGGTTCACAGACCAACATGCAAAAACTCAGGGAAGGTGCACAAATACAAGTTTTGGAGACTGATCATATAATCATTTGTGGTATGAACAGTCGCCTGGCTTTCATACTAAAGCAGCTAAATAAATATCACGAAATTGCTGTGCGCTTGGGTACTGCTACAGCCAGGTAAACCATTATGCATCCTTTTTCTATGAGTAGTTATTGGCTTATACATGCATTTTGCTTTTACAGGAAGCAAAGAATTCTTCTTATGTCGGATCTTCCAAGGAAGCAAGTTGACAAGCTGGCTGACAACATTGCCAAGGATCTTAACCATATTGATATCCTTACAAAGAGGTCTAAAAACAATGTCTGCTTTTCCCTAAATTTCCAAACTCCAACTATGTTTCCCTTTCATAGTCATTTCCATGCCTGAAAGTACGGTGATCATCTTAAGCAATCAGCAGGCAGTGAAAACATTTTTACATAAAATATAAATTATAAAATTTTGTTAATGATAAGACATCCTTTGTTCACGTTAGTTGAGGACCTTGTCTTATCGATCTAACTGAAGATATTATCCCGGAAAGAGCACAATATTTGTTATGTATGTTGTCTCTACTCTCTTGTATACATCTTATTCTAAAATTCTAGACTTTAGAATTTTCTATAAACGGTAGTGCACAAAGGAAAGCTTAGAGCTGTTACGTCTCAAGATCTTTCGAGTTCTTTGCACGTTTACATCTTCTTGTTCAATTTGTAAACTTTCGATCCACTTAGGTGTTCATGGAATAGATGCAAATTCTAATTGGTTGAGTTAGAATTGTCTATAAAAATTAAGCTTAGATTTCCTAAAAGTTGTGCCTGCTTTTGCAGTTGTAGCCTTAGTTTGACAGAATCATTTGAAAGAGCAGCGGCCAATAAGGCACGAGCCATTATTGTACTGCCCACAAAAGGAGACCAGTAAGTCCTCTATCAGCTTTAATGAAATTAGTTTATTATTTTTAACTGCTTTTGCTTTTATTTAATTTTCTGCGGGATGTGTATAGGAATTTGAATATATATTTGTCTTCTTTTGTGAGAGTTACATCACATCATTTTGGAGTATCTTAGTGGGGGACAAGATTTTATGTTAGGGAACCAACTTCTAAAATTTTAGGAGAGGATCAACTTATAAAATTTTAGGGGGTGAAAACAGATTATCAATATAAAATAATATCTAAAATATATGATAATTTAAATTTTTTAGTGGGGCGACTATCCTCGTCCTCTCCCCCCTCGGCCCATTCCTACTGGGACCTTGTTTCCTTAAAACTCTTTTAGGTTCAATGACCTCCATCCTACACGCACTCATGGTTGCTTTGCATAATGAGAGCTCATTCTGGCCTGCACACAACTATGGAGCAAAGTTTAACCGTTTTCTTCATTTTCAGATAATTAATTTAACTGAATTTTACATATAATATTAGTAGCCAGATTAATAGTAGTTTATAAAATCGAACTTAGCATTGCAGTGATTGAGACCCTTAGACTTGAGGGTTTAGAAAACTATGAAGAAGAATGGATTTTTTTTATTTTTTATTTCATTGGAGAATGAAGTAAAGATAATAGATACAGCAACTCTCATTTCTACCCAATTCTTTGCATGTTTCTTTTTAATTAGTCCATAAAATGGACAATTTTCTGCCGGGTAAGTTAAGTAACTACAGTTCGTTAACTGATTAGGTATGAAGTTGACACTGATGCATTTCTCTCTGTACTAGCACTTCAACCTATTCCTGAGATGGAATCCATCCCAACTGTTGTTGAGGTATATGCATTTGCATAGACATAGGATTAATATAATTCTACCAAGAAATTTTGAGTTTAATTTCAGGGTTTCTTTTCTGAGGCAGGTTTCAAACTCCAATACATGTGAGCTCTTGAAGTCGATCTCTGGATTGAAAGTGGAGCCAATTGAAAATGTTGCTTCTAAATTATTTGTTCAATGTTCTAGGCAAAAGGGGCTCATAAAAATCTACAGGCACTTGCTTAATTATCGAAGTACAATATGAGATCTTGTTGACATTTTTTATATTCTGATGTTGGGAAGACACTGAAAGCTTAAAGTAATATTTACATTAACTACGTAATAGCATACATTAAAGGCAATTTATATCAAATTTCGAGTCTTGTTCATATGATTATGTAGAATTATTTGGAGTTTAGTTTGAATGCATATTTGTCTGCATGTTAGAGGGCCGAAATTAAGGAAATCTAGAGTCAAACAGATCAATATTCAGTTCCATATATTAAGGGATTCTGGTAGCTTGTTACCATATCCTTATATATTTATTTCCTGTTTATTTCTTTCTGTTTTAGATAGATTTGATCCTATTCTAGGTAAGTTGTATATATCCCTAGAAATTAGGTGTTTCAGCATATATATTTAGGGAACATGTAACCTGTTTGATTATTGGAAAAAAAAAAGGTATTCCTCTACTTTCAACATGGTATCAGAGTATACTCTGAACCCTAAATCCCTCATATAACCAAATACGGGAGAAGTGACTCAACTGCTTCCGTGTCCCAAATCACCTCCAACCAGGTAGCCATGGCCTCCAGTAACAGTAGTGGAGATAGCAATCCCATGCCCATTACAGGACACAACTGAATGGGAACAACTATCTCCAATGGTCCCACTCTGTTATGATGTTCATATGCAAGAGGAAAGGATGATTATCTCAAAGGAGTGGCTGCCAAGCCAAGCCAGGATGATGAGTTCAAAATCTGGAATTCCGAGAATAATATGGTCATGTCATGCTCATCAATTCCATGACAAATGAAATCGGAGAGAACTTTCTACTCTACAGAACAGCAAGGGAAATCTGGGAGGCTGCAAAGGAAACGTATTCCAACAATGAGAATACATCTGAGTTGTTTGAAGTGGAGAGTGTTCTCCATGACTTCCGTCAAGGAGATTTAACAGTAACCCAGTACTTCAATACACTCAACCGCTATTGGCAACAACTGGACTTGTTCGAGGAGCACAATTGGAGCTGCCTAGATGATGGAATCAGGTATAGACAGATCATTGAACGGAAGAGAATATAAGTTTCTGATTGGATTAAATAAAATCTAGATGAAGTAAGAGGAAGAATCTGGGATCCAAACCTCTACTTAATATCCGGGAGGCTTTTTCTGAAGTCAGGAGAGAGGAGTCGAAAGAAATCATGATGGGCTCTCAAGAACCAATGACAAGTCTTGAGAGCTCAGCCCTTGCTGTTAGAGGGAACTCCTACACAACAATGACACCAAACCAAAGAAGGACGCCCTTGGTGTGATCACTGCCGCCGACCTGGTCACACCAGAGACACTTGCTGGAAAATTCATGGTAAGCCTGCAGATTGGAAGTCTTCTCGGTCTGCCAACGACAAAGAGGGGCGAGGCAATTTGCCTCAATGGATGACAAACCTTCACCTGAACCCACTCCATTCAGCAAGGAACAATTAGAGGTTCTACAGAAGCTGTTCAACCAGTCTTTGCATGCCCAAACCTCCACTGTGGTTGGTACTGGGTCCTTAGCCCAAAAAGGTAATTTTTTAAGCGCTCTCAGTGTTAAAAAATAGACGTCAAATCCATGGATTATAGATTCTGGAGCTTCAGACCATATGACTGGAAATGAGGACCTATTTTCTACCTACAGTCCATGTGATAAACACTTAACGGTCAGAATAGCCGATGGTTCACTCTCAAAGTGGTTGGTACAGGTTCTTTAAAGTATCAGAGAATATACACTTGAATCAGTCCTTGTGCCAAATTTGAATTGCAATTTACTGTCCATTAGTAAACTTACTCGAGACCTGAATTGTGTGACTAAATTTGGTTCAACCATGTGTGAATTTCAGGTCTTGGACTCGGGGAAGACGATTGGCAGTGCTAAAATGTGCTCAAGACTCTATCTTCTCGAGGTTACAAATCCTCCTCAAGGCACAACTTATCAGTCCGATTGTCTAGTGTCTGGTAATCCTACTTCTTTTTCTGTCAGTTGTTCTAATAATGATAGTGCAATCATGTTATGGCACTATAGATTAGGCCATCCGAATTTCTTGTATCTTGAGAAGCTGTTTCCTTCTCTATTTCATAATAAAAATCCAAATGAGTTCAAGTGTGAAATTTGTCAATTCTCTAAACATGTCCGTAATTCTTATCCCAACCAATCTTACAAAGAATCCCATCCTTTTTCAATGATTCATAGTGATGTTTGGGGGCCATCTAAACTAAAAATGTGACTGGTTCCCGTTGGTTCATTACATTTATTGATGATCACACTCGCTTACATGGGTCTTTCTCATGAAAGAAAAATCAGAGGCAGGTCAGATTTCAAAAACTTCAACACCATGATACAAACTCATTCCAAGCCAAAATCCAAATTCTGAAAACTGACAATGCCAAAGAATACTTCAAGTTCATACTCAATGATTATCTCTTGAGTCATGGCATCATTCATCAAGCTCATGTGTCAACACCCCTCAGCAAAATGGAATGCTGAAAGGAAAAATCGGCACCTTCTAGATGTTGCAAGATCTCTTATGTTTTCTACTCATGTACCGAAACATTTCTGGGGTGAAGCTCTCACTGCAGCATACCTCATAAACCGGATGCCATCTAGGATTCTCAACTTTCAAAGTCCTTGTCAAACCTTACTTCAGTTTTTACCAAATACACGTCTCATCAACACTATTCCCTTCAAGGTTTTCGGGTGTTCAGCCTTTGTTCATGTCCATCAACATAAAAGGGATAAATTTGATCCTAGAGCACTTAAGTGTATCTTCCTTGGGTACTCTCCAACTCAAAAGGGGTATAAGTGCTACTCTCCGGTCACTAAACAGTACTACCACTCCATGGATGTTACATTTTTTGAGCACCAGCCCTACTACCCCAAATTTGATATTCAGGGGGAGACCAATTTTACCCAGGAATATCAAATTTGGGATATTGATGAATCAGTTCAGCTCTCTCCAAATTCTAACTCTATTTCTCCTCAACAACATCTCTCCCTAGAATCTTCATACCAAAATCTAGACATTAGTAAATCAACAACTAATAATGAGTTGATTACCTATTCACGGAGGAGAAAGAACCAAAAGGAGATGGAACCTCCAGCACCTCTGCAGCAAAACCAAGAATCTGATCCTAGTCCAAGATCTTGTGAAGATCCAGCACCTCTGCAGCAAAACCAAGAATCTGATCCTGGTCCAAGATCTTGTGAAGATCCTTTAGGTAATCCTAATCCTGAGCCCTCACAGAGTAAACTGGTGATGACAGTGACTATCCTATTGCCGTGAGGAAAGGGGTTAGAACTTGCACAAAACATCCTATATACACCTTTATATCATATGAAGGCCTGTCACCAAAATTCAAGTCGTTTGTTGCCAACCTCGACAGCACTCAGGTCCCAAATAACATACAAGAAGCTCTTGGATCTCCTGAGTGGAAAGCTGCTGTGCTTGAAGAAATAAATGCCTGGAAAAGAATGGCACCTGGGAAATATCAAATTACCATCGGGAAAAAGGCCAGTAGGATGCAAATGGATATTCTCAATCAAGTACAATGAAGATGGAAGTGTTAATCGTTTCAAGGCACGGCTAGTGGCAAAGGGATTCACTCAATCATATGGAATCGACTATGAAGAAACATTTGCCCCAGTAGCCAAGTTAAACACAGTTCGGGTTCTCCTATCACTAGCTGCAAATCTTGATTGGCCCCTTCACCAACTAGATGTCAAGAATGCTTTTCTAAATGGGACTTAACTGAGGAAGTTTACATGGAAATCCCTCCAGGATTTGAGACACCGAAAACTGACAACAAAGTTTGCAAACTTAAAAGATCATATACGGGCTCAAGCAATCACCAAGAGCTTGGTTTGAGAATTTACCAAGGTAATAAAGAATCATGGCTATTCTCAATGTCAACAGATCACACCTTGTTTGTCAAACACTCATTTGCAGGAAAACTGGCTATCCTCATTGTATGTGGATGACATTATCCTAACAGGAGATTATGAGGAAGAAATCACACTACCAAAGGTCTTCTAGCTAAGGAATTTGAAATCAAGGACCTTGGACAGCTCAAATACTTCCTAGGCATGGAAATTGCAAGGTCAAGAAAGGGAATCTGTGTTTCCCAAAGAAAATACGTACTGGATCTTTTAAAAGAAACTGGGATGCTTGGATGTAAGCCAGCGGACACACCTATGGATTCAACAACAAAATTAGGCACTAAAGAAAATTGTGCACCGGTGGATAAAGGCAGATACCAAAGGCTAGTAGGTAAATTAATCTACCTTTCTCACACACGACCAGACATTGGTTTTTCAGTCAGCATGGTAAGTCAGTTTATGAACAATCCAAATGAAGAACATATGGAGGCGGTGTATAGAATCCTAAGGTATCTGAAGCTAACACCAGGGAAAGGATTATTTTTTGAGAAGAATCAAAGAAGAGACATAGAGGTGTTTAGTGATGCAGATTGGGCAGGATCAATACAAGACCGAAGATCAACTTCAGGGTATTGTACTTATGTGTGGGGAAATCTAGTCACATGGAGAAGTAAGAAGCAATCAGTGGTGTCAAGGAGCAGTGCAGAAGTGAATTTCGGGCAATGGCCCATGGTATTTGTGAGGAATATGGCTAAGAAGGGTACTAGAGGAATTAAGAATTTCTAGTGGAGAACCTATGAAGATGTTCTGTGATAACCAATCAACAATCAGCATTGCCAAGAATCCAGTCCATCATGACAGAACTAAGCATGTGGAGATTGATCGGCACTTCATAAAGGAGAAGATAGAGGAAGGGATGATCAAAATGCTATATGTACCCACATGTCTTCAAACAGCCGACATTCTTACTAAGGCTCTACCAAGAAAGACTTTTGATGATCTAAGTTCCAAGCTGGGGTTAATTAACATTTACCATCCAGCTTGAGGGGGAGTGTAGAATTATTTGGAGTTTAGTTTGAATGCATATATGTCTGCATGTTAGAGGGCCGAAATTAAGGAAATCTAGAGTCAAACAGATCAATATTCAGTTCCATATATTAAGGGATTCTGGTAGCTTGTTACCATATCCTTATATATTTATTTCCTGTTTATTTCTTTCTGTTTTAGATAGATTTGATCCTATTCTAGGTAAGTTGTATATATCCCTAGAAATTAGGTGTTTCAGCATATATATTTAGGGAACATGTAACCTGTTTGATTATTGGAAAAAAAAAAAAGGTATTCCTCTACTTTCAACAGATTATGCTGTAGTTTTCTGCTCCAAGGCTAATCAAGATCTTGTTTTTGCAGAAAGAGTATTCAATCTTTGCCAGTTTCCTAGATTAACAGGATTTACATATAGACAAATACGGAAGGGTTTCCAAGAGGTAATGCTTTTTGCTAAAACTTATTTTTACCAGTATGAAGAACTTCCAAGCTGTTTTTTATGTTGATTTCTTTTCAGGCGGTTGTTTGTGGTCTTTATCGGGGTGGTAAGATAAACTTCCATCCAGCAGACAATGAAACTCTTCAGGAAACTGACAAAGTACGTAGACAGTATGAGGTTTTGAACTTCTTTTACATTCATTTACCTCGATGTTTTAAAGTTGAGATTGAAAATTTTGGCATTATGAAATGTTATTGTAGAAAAATAATTATTTCTCCAAATCACTACATAAAAGAGGGAATAACACTAATAATTCAAGAGTATCATGCTTGTTCGTAATCTTCTGCATATTGACTTCATTATGTTTTCTGCACTGCAGTATATTCAAGGAGTGAAATATAAACTTTCGTGTTAACAGAAATATATGTAGCAACCTTGATAGTTTCATAGTGATATGACTACGGATGAAGATTTTTCTTGAAAATTACTTCTTTACTGAAATTTCTAGGCGGTTTATTCCTTATCTGATTATATTGTATGCATCCTGCCATATTTCTCTTTTATCCGTGTAGGTATTACTAATTGCACCTATTCATAGGACAACTAAACAACAACTTGCATTGTTGGATGTAAGAAACGAAACCGAGACATTACAAAGTCCAGAAGTTTTCAAAACAAATGATGATACCTTAGCTCCTGCTTTAGAATTGAGAAAAGAACAGCTTTTAAAGATTGTGAAACGTGCCAAAAAGCTGGGAGCGAAGGTATGCTCACTAAAGAGACAAGTGTTGCAAGTGACAGCATCAATTGAATGTTCTGTAAGTCCTCTTGTATACTCTCATGTTTGCATAGCAGGCATCAGACCAGAGTTTAGGACACAAAGAATGCATACTTCTTATTGGATGGCGCCCAGATGTTGTACAAATGATTGAAGAGTATGATAATTATCTCGGCCCTGGAAGTGTGTTGGTATGCTTTTGGATTCTTTGTCTAAAATTTCAACCATGACCCTTCCCTAGTATCTTGTCTTGGAATTCAGTTATAAAGAGTTATGTACTTCATAGTTTTCAAGATGGACGTGTACCTTTAAGTTCTGCATCGAGTTGCATATTCTTAGAGGGAATGCTTGTTTTACCCCCTTAAGTCATGTTACTTCTTGATGGAAAACAACTTTCATGCATTTGCAAATGTTAATTTTAGACTATTTGTGAGCTATCCGCACTTGGCAGGAAATATTATCGGATGTCCCACTAGAAGAAAGGAAGAGAGCAAGCAGCATGTCTGGTCAAAGAAAACTAAAAATGTCCAGGTTATCCATAGGGTATGGGTCCCTTCCATTGATCATGCCAAACTTCTTGATACTTTTTATCTGTGTTCAGAATGACAGTAACACTGAGCCTTTTATCATTTCCTTCTAAACTGTCTATATTTTCATGCATTGCAGGTTGGAAACTCCATGAACTATGATACCTTAGAGGAAACCATAATGAACATACAAAATTTTATCAAGAAAGTGAATCAAATTCCTTTGTCTATAGTTGTGATTTCCAATAAAGAATGGCTTCTTGGAGGTATTGATAGAGAATGCTTCTGTTGGTAAATTAATCGTTAGGCTAACTATTTTCTTTTCAGATCCGTCTAGGGCTGACAAACGATCGGCATACTCTCTCTTCTTGCTGAAAATATCTGCAACAAACTCGGAGTGACGGTGAGTTATGGTTTAATATTATCTTTGATAAACTCCTCATATATATAAAAGAAAAGTATTAGAACATATTTGAGAATTGAGTTAACATTATCTTTGTTAATATTATCTTTGTATCAATATTTGAGAATTGAGTTAACAGTTCCGATAGTTCTGCAGGTGCAAAATCTAGTTGCGGAGATTAGTGACTCAAAAATGGGCAAACAAGTAATCCTTTTGGTGACATTTGAGAATTACTTGCTTATGATATTTTATTCTCTTAAGGTTTTTCACATATTTTATCCATAAAACTCTGCAGATTACAAGAATCAAGCCATCAGTGACTTACATTGCGGCAGAGGAAGTGATGAGTCTTGTAACAGCTCAAGGTCTTGAAGTTACAGTTGCCATAGTTGTATTTGTTCTGTTTCCATATTCTGATCTTAGAAATAGCTTTATGTTGTGCATGACAGTGGCAGAAAACAGTGAACTCAATGAAGTGTGGAAAGAAATTTTGAATTCTGAAGGTGATGAAATATATGTAAAGGTAATGGATGATATGTCAACACTATAGCTTCATGTTTGAACTTACCGAAAACGAATCGGACAATGAAGTCTTTAAGGAGTAGGTTAGCCTTGGTCGATTTATCATTAAAGGAAAATGTTCTGCAAAACAAAGATTGTTGAAGAAGTCGGGTTTTTAGCCTAGTTGGTTATATAGGTACTAGGAATTCAACAAATTTAGCATCCTTTTTCTTATTCCTAGATTACAACCTTAGTGGTAAAAGGGAGTATTACTCTAAGAATGTCCCGGTATCGAGCAGTTGCTTCTGCAGGGTGTGCGTGCGTTGTCAATGGTTAAGATTACGAACAAATACCCATGTTTCTTTACAGGATATAAGCTTATACATGAAAGAAGGGGAGAACCCATCGTTCTCAGAGCTATCCGAAAGGGCACGTCTGCGACGAGAAGTCGCCATAGGATACCTCAAAGACAACAAAACGGTACATTATACTTCATCTTTGTTATTAACCACGTTTTGTTTAAAGATTTTGCTTATAAGTGCACTAAGATATCTAGCTTTTAAAGTTACCATACATAAGTGCATTAGAAATGAAGTTATCAACCACTGGTCCCACTGCATTGTTTAACAATGCCACACCTAATCCATTGTTGCAGGTTATTAATCCAACTCCCAAATCGAAGCCTCTCTCCCTAGAAATCACTGATTCATTAATCGTTATATCCGAGTTCGAAGGAGAGCAACCTATTGTTGTGTAAAAGCAACTAGACTGCAGGTCATTTTTGTTCATCTTTGCATTTTCTTTTTCTCGGTAATGTTCATGGTTGTAAGCTTCATAAACTCTTTGATGAATTGCATACTTTTGAGTTGAACCATCATCTTTTAGTTTCACATGTGAAACTGATTAGGGTTGGGGAAAGAGAAACTTGAATTTTGGACCTCTTGTGATGTCTAAATTTGTGGACATAAAAAAACATGTATTTTCATTTTTGGCAAAAAAGAAAGAAAATGTTGTATTTAATGTTTGTAAATCTGAATATAAATTCAAGTTGACGAATTATATTTTATTTTCTTAATTAAAAAGAGTGAAATAAAGTTAAATTCGAATAAATTTATTGGAGTTAAATTTAAGAAAAAATAGTTAAAGTAAACGACAATTATTTGGTTTAGTGAAATGTGACACTAGATGTGACACTAGATCCAACAAGTAAGATCAAATGTTCAAATCCTGACATTTGTGAACGGAGCATATTGAGTTGTTAAGGTCATCCTCATATTAGGAAGTTGCAGTACTCGATCTGGATTAATAAATATAAATTGAAAATATGTAATTATAAAAAAATAGTTAAAGTAAAAACATTGTAAACAATATTGAATGAATTTCAAGTTAGAGCATATGAATATAAATTTAAGATTATGTTTTTATTATTATTTTAAACAAAATTAAAATATAAATAAAATATTTTAGATTTAATATTTTAATTTCATAAGATAACAAAACTATTATTTTGGAACAATTTTAAAATATTATTGTTTTTATAGATATTTAAAGAGTTTTAAGGATTATACATATTTGTTTATTTTACAAATTTTATAAAATATTTGATTTTTTTTTATAAAAATCATTTTGTATATTTTTCAAACTATCAAGATAAAATCCTAAAATTTAATTAAACTTGATTTTTTTAAAAATCATATATTTTGAATAACTCAATTGAAAATTTAAAAATAGTGACAAACGATTATGACAGCGGTTAGTTAGTAAAACTACCAAATCCAAACCTTTGCCGCCGGAATGCAACACCACCACCAAAATCCACCACCTTACACCACCACTGCCGCCTCCGCCGTCCCTAAAGACCACTCCAAATGCAATCCTTACTTAATCGTAGCAACCTTCTTCATTTCCCTCTTCTTTATCCTCTCCCTTCTTTCCACCTCTGCCTCCCAATCACTCACAATCCGACGGGACCCGGCTCTATTCCCCAACCGACCCGTCTCTCGAACCAACATCCCCACCCCTCCCTCCATTGCTTACCTCATATCAGGATCTGCCGGTGACTCGGTTCGGATCCTCCGCCTCCTCTTCGCTTCATATCACCCCAGAAACCACTACCTTCTTCACCTTGACCTGTCTGCTACCCAGACTGAACGTGACCAATTGGTCGTCGCTGTCCTATCGGTGCCTATTTTTAGAGCTGCGCAAAATGTCAACGTTATAGGTAAGGCAAATTATGCTTACCGAAAAGGGTCTTCAACGATCTCTTCCACGCTTCACGGTGCCTCCATTTTGCTACGTTTGTCTTCGAATTGGGATTGGTTTATCGCTCTCAATGCTGGCGATTACCCTATTGTTACTCAAGATGGTACACCTAAAATTTTGATTTGGGATTAATTTTGGGTTTGTGTTTTCTTTTCTTTCATTTGATAGATTTTCATTTCTGGTTATTTATGGATGTTGCAGATCTTCTTCACATTCTGTCATACCTTCCTAAAAATCTCAACTTTGTAAATCATAGCAGTTACATTAACTGGAAAGAGTATGTTAACTCCACCTATAATTCATTTATTCTGCTATCTGGACATATGGATACAAAAAACCAAACTAGTGTCTTTTTAGGAATCTGTGTTTATATTTTTCATTCTTAATCCGATTATGATTTTGCTCTTATACTGGAAGTTTATAGCAACGTAGTTTGGGAATATGTGTAACATACTTGTAGTTAAGTTGGTGTGGTTTAAGTTGATGAATGTTGATTAATATTAGTCTTATGTGTTGGGCGTTGTTTATTATAGGTCCAAGAGATTGAAACCAATAATTGTTGATACGGGGCATTATCTTTTGGAAAAGGATGAGGTATTTTATGTTACTCAGAAGCGGGTATTGCCCAATGCATTCAAGTTGTTTTCAGGTATGTGTTCGTGCCTGGCTTCTTTCTGTCGAGTTTTTGGGTACTTTTGTTATTTATTATTATTATTTCTAAGTCTTGGAAAAAACATTGTAGAAAATGTGATACTCATGTCTACCGTGTTCATTCTTAATTACTAGAGTAGCTAGACAATGAACAAAGTGAGCTTAGATTTAGAGTGGTGGACCTGCAAACACAGAATGATTCAGATTTTGATTTGAATCTGTAGTTTTTATAGTTTTTTGAGATCACAAAATTTGCATGGTTAAGCGTAGCTGCAGCTATCAATGTAGTACCTCTGTATGGACTTGGAGGCACTGAGAGGTGCTACAAGAATGTTATTTCTAGTCCATGTGACTGTTAGGACCTATCAGCTTGAATGATAATCTTGTTGGAGGTGAAGTAACGTTTTGTATAAGTAAACTTGTTGAGAGAAGTGCGAGAGATGGAGAAGGCAAAGCAATAGAAAAATTGAAAAATGAAAAATTTTGAATCCTTTAGATTGAACTGGGATTCAGCTCCCCCTCCATTATTTTTTGTCCGTTATTATCGAATACTTGTTTAATCACCATTCACAACATGACTTCACGTTTAATGGATGGGTCCTATTCATTTGAATAGTGATGATCAAAACCCTTTGAACTTGGATATATTCTCCTCCTTGCCAGTTTTTAAATTCCACCATTTTGATTTTTGTTGCTGGCTGGAATTGTTATGGACTATAAAATTAGTATCACTAGCAACAACTTTTTTGTTAATTGAAAAGATTCTATGTATTTAAATTGCACTTAAATCATAGTCCTCTCTATGTTTATGTAGTGGCAACCTGAGCTTGGTGCGTATAGGCAGTTCTATCTGCCTCTCAGCTGAACCTTGAGGATAGATCTATTGGTGGATGGCCTAATGTGTTATTTACCTTCTACTTACATCATACATTTGCTGATTTTTTTAATTTTTCAATATCCGATTGCAATTTGACTAAATAGAAATTAAAAGGAAAAGAGGAAAGGAATTTATAAAAAATAAACTTTCCATGCATTTATTAGGGTCAAGTTTTTAAGTGGAAGCAATCTTTTCTGCCCTAAAAGAAAGCCTTGCTACCATCTTGTCTTGTTAGTAGTGACCAACATGGTAATTCTATCCATTTGCAAAACAATTAAAGATGTTATGAGACTGTTGTAGGAGATTGCATATGTTCCATGTATCGTCGTACAGCAATAATGGTATAGTAAGTTGGTTGCAGGACCCCACCCTTTTCTTTGGAAAATTTCTCTATCACTGAAATGCTCATGTAGAACAAGTCTTCGATGATCATTATTCTAGACAACCGCCGTGACATAAAGTTCCCCTTATGTCGAGAGTTGTTTGGTTTCCATCATCTACATCCGTTCAATTAATTTTTAATGGCTTCATAAATGACTGATTTGCTCTGAGAAGATTACTTCCTTTGTTGTTTATATAACTGGTGTATTCATAGAAGATATCACATGCACTTCCTTTTGTTGAGATCACATCTTTTGCAGGTTCAACATTCACAATGTTAACTCGTACTTTCATCGAGTTCTGCATCCTTGGTACAGACAATCTTCCAAGGACTTTGCTAATGTATTTTGGCAAATATGCCATATCCTTTCACCAATTATTTCCCTACCATCCTTTGTAACACTGACAAGTTCAAGCGTACTGTTATAAACCATAACCTACAGTATGTAACCTCCAATGTATCCTCTTCGAAGAAGCCTTCCTTAACCAATTCTGCAGAATTTGATGCTATGATTCAGAGTGGAGATGCCTTTGCGGCAGAGTTCCAGTTTGACGATCCGGTACTTGACCGTATCGACAGAAAAATTTTGAAACGCAAACCCGGGAGAGTTGTACCAGGTGGATGGTGCTTAGGTGTTCCTAAAAACGATACATGTTCATTGTGGGGGGATGCTGATATCTTGAGGCCTGGTCCAGGAGCAAAAAGGCTTGAAAAACGTATTGTTCGATTACTTTCAGATACTAGGTTTCGGTCCCGGCAATGTCTGGATGAATGATCTGAATCAGTTTGCATGGAGATTTATGAAATTGGAGAAGTAAAAGGTAACTGAAAATGATGATGAATAATAAACAATCATGAAACCTGTCTAGTCTTTGCTTGCTTTTGGGCCCTTGTGGCGGCATGGCCTCTCCGGTGGAAGGTGGGCATGCCAGTTGTCTTGAAAACTTATATCCAACCTTGGTCGAGAGTGAGAATTGGATTGAATCGGGTCAAATTAAGTGAAAAATAAATTTAAATTTATGAGTACGAGTATGATTTTATCATCAAATCTTTATTAGAGTTTTTTTAACTAAATTGAATTTATTAAATTTGATTAAATCGAATATATTTGATTGAGTTTCTATTAAAATTTATGGTAGGGTACACAAATAGTCTTTTGATTATACGGTAATGTTTTGTTGAGTTCATTGACTATTAAAATTTACAAAATTATCCTTCGACTATAGGTTGTTGAATTGTTGAGTCCCTCGACTATTAAAAGTTACAAAATTGTCCTTTGACTATGGGGTGTTGATTTGTCGAGTCCCCGACTATTAAAAGTTACAAAATAGTCACCCGACTATTTAATATGTTCTAACTCGTCCATTTCTGTTAAAAAAAATGACAACTGTCTAAGTTGAATGTTAACATGTTGATTGAGATATGATAATTTTTCTATATTCCAGAAACAATATTGACTGAAAAGTTAAAGCATTTGAATATAATTATATATTATTACTATCTTAAATGAAATTAAAAGAAAAATAAGATAATTTAGATTTAATATTTTAATTTCATAAGGTCTGGGATCAAATTTTATCATACCTCAGTCATCAGGTTAACATCTATCTTAGATTGTCGTCAATTTTTTAACGAAAAATGATGAGTTTGGAACATACTAAAAAGTCGGGTAACCACTTTGTAACTTTTAATAGTTAGGGGACTCAACAAAGCAATACCCTATAATTAAAGGACCATTTTATAACTTTTAATAATTGAGAGACTCAAAAAAACATTACCCTATA